CGCCCTTTAAATTTCACCAACCGAGCATAGCACTGGAGTTATACTTATTTTTAAAAGTGACAAGATATAGTGCAATACATTGAGTTCAAGGTTGTTGTTTATAAAAAAGTGTTTCATAATTGGTCATTCGAAAACAATTTCTCTATGTTCTGGTACAGTGTTAAGACTGTGTACATCTGATCTCCCGTACCCCACCGTAGATGGGAGCTTTTGCGGCACTGGGGTGATGATGATGATGATTACATTTTTTATGAGATCTATTTTAAAAGTTTTATTACAAAACACAAATCATTGTAATTTAAACATTTCTGTATCAGGGGAACAAGTTAACATGCAAGATGGTGGTGGTAAGATGTTTTCATGGCAAGTCATCCGCGCATATATTGTGTCATTATAAATGATATAAATGATACTAAATTTGTAATGTAAAGACAATTTCTATTTCATTTTCCTTTCATTAGAGAAAGTGCAATTTCTCTAAAGAAGAATGAAGTTAAATAATTTTGGGGTTGAATTTTGTTTTGTTGAATTTAGATTAAAAAAAACTGAAAGATGTAAAAAAGTATTTTGGCCATAGTAACTATACTTAACATGTCACATTTTCACAAACAACCTTTATTTTAATCGTATTTATGTAATCATTTAAAAAAGTTATATACATATATACCTAAAAAACATTATATGTATAAATACTTATTTGAAGATTTTCTCATGAATTTATATTTAAGTATAGTTTAGGAAAGACATAACACATTTTCACATATCTGCACACCCCCTGATTTGTCAGGTTACATCAGCAATTCGTCTAAATAATGCAATTCGTATAGATAAAGACATAACACATTTTCAAATATCTGCACCCCCTGATTTGCCAGGTTACATCAACAATTCGTCTAAATAATGCGATTTGTATAGATAAAGACATAACACATTTTCACATATATGCACACTCCCCTGATTTGTCAGGTTACATCAGCAATTCGCCTAAATAATGCAATTCGTATAGATAAAGACATAACACATTTTCACATATCTGCACACCCCCCGATTTGCCAGGTTACATCAACAATTTGTCTAAATAATGCAATTCGTATAGATAAAGACATAACACATTTTCACATATCTGCACCCCCCCTGATTTGCCAGGTTACATCAGCAATTCGTCTAAATGATACAATTTGTATAGATAAAGACATAATACATTTTCACATATCTGCACACATCTCCTGATTTGACAGGTTACATCAGCAATTCGTCTAAATGATGCAATTCGTATGGATGTAATGTCACCATATTATTTAGTAATTATAAAAATTTATACCTTCAGTTAACATATATAGACCTTTGATTTGAAAATGAAAAAAATCTTTGTCAAAAATTTATTTGAATGAAGTATTTTAATATGGGAAAATTTTTGAATATGGGTAAATAAGTTTCAGAATTCCAGAATAAGATTGTCATATTTTTTTTATTGCCAAAATAGGCGTAATTAATGTCAAGCTTGAAAAATATTGTCATGTTTAAGGTCCAATTTTGGAATACATAAAACTTTTTTTGTCCTATTTAGTTTAATTTCCCTTTAAACAATGGTTAATACTAGACAGAAGGTACAAAGAAGTGTTTCATAAAATTTGCCATGGAATGTTATTTGTTTTCAAATGATGTTTATATTGCGTGTTACTTACTATTTTGCGGGCTATAAAAAATAATGTACTGCTCTGTAATCATGAAATGTATTTGAACAAGACTCAGAATGTTGTATTCAAAAAGTGTTCAACCTGTTTAAGGTTACATGAAATGTATATTTACAATGTTATGGTTTCTAAGTATTTGTTGGATGTTTTTGATCTTTTAAGTAATGTTTTGTTCTCTTTTTAACTATAATATATATTATAAGTGTGTTTTGTTTATTGCTTGAAGTTATATCAATATTCCATGGAGATAGATGCTCTCATCAACTGATAGTGTAATTTGAATTAGTGAGCACAAATAAATTTGAAGGAAAATTCTCAAACCGTGCATCGCACGGGTGAGCTTACTAGTGTCTTCTAAAGGAGGCAAAAACAGATATTATTAAATTTCTCGTGGTGTTTGAACAAATATACCAACAATTGGTTCATTTGAATGAAAATTATACAATCATCATCACACTAATATAAACAATTGGAGTACACTTAGTGACACTCAAATTAGCCGATTTTATTGATTCTGCAGAAATTTATGAAGTTTTAGCTGAATTGACTGATTCTGTTGAATTATGAAAAAAAAATTAAAATATATTTTATTAATAAATAAAGAAAATATTATATGAAAATAAATGAAATGATCTTTTACACTAACTTTAATCAATCCAGACAAAAAAGTAAAATCGAAAGTTGTTTATTTGGTGAAATAATTGATTGATAAGACTGATATGTCAAAAAACAGAGGTCTTAGGAATGAGAAGATTTGAAGCTATTAACCAATAGCTTATGATGAAGTTTAAAAAACAATTAAGCCCTAAAATATACTCCAAATATTGTTTTCTTTTTGGTTCTTTTTAGCTTTTTGAGGCGTAATAGTGGAATTAAAGCTATACAAAGCTAACCACTTACACTTATAATAATAGAAACCTACGAACAAAACTTAAGCCCATTCCCAAATTGTAATCAAACAAGTTTTCTTGTGCCGTTTATAGCTGCACTTTTACTGACTTATTTTAATTAAATAAATTTAAGTTTCTTAAAATGGAAATAATATCAAAAGTGTTTTAAATTTAAATTTGATCTGTCATTAGTATTTTGATATGTATGTGTTGCAAGAGTCGAACTAATTATCCCAGAGCAATACAAAGGATTGGACATTGGAGTTCCTATCCTACTACGGAGTACTCCGTATTTCTTTTAACTATCTACTCCGTATTTCATACCTTTACACACATCATTAAATTGCACAAAATTACATTAATTGAGATACTAAAAAAATTGTGTTAACTATATAAATACAAAGTAGTATATTCAAGTTTTATATTGGGACTACAAAAATAAGAATTCCACAAATGAAAGACGAAAAGTGATTTCCTGACTCACTTCAATTTTCTTTAAATCTTAAGGTAAAAAATCGTGTAAAAAAATTCAAAAGAATCTTTGTACCAGCTCATTTCAATGTATCGCTCTGCCTCCGCCATGGTGTACTCTATACATGATCTCATCAATACCATCCTAAGGTCACGCTTATATGATTAGGGCTGGGAAAAAACTCCCGACTCCCGACTCCCGATCCCGATCCCGACAATCCCGATCCCGAAAATCCCGATCCCGACAATCCCGATCCCGACTAGTCGGGAAATTTTCCCGATCCCGACTAAGTCGGGACGTGACCGGGATTTTTCTTAAAAAAAGTCGGGATCGGGAAAATCCCGACATCCCGACATTATATATATATATAATTATATATATATACATGTATATAATTATATATGAATATATAAAAAATGAATATGTATCTAAATATTTGCACATCTTTTTTAATTACTTATTCCTTACATAGATTAATCTTTTACTACGAGTATCTTACAATATCAAACTTCTAAAACTATTCGGCATTTGTCCGAAAATGAATATTCGGTATCCTAACTAAGTAGAGATTATTCTTGATCCCAACAATCTAAATCACAACATACAATATTACAAATTTTGCGGTTCTGATGAACTCTTTAAAAAATTGTGATCGAGACTAAGATTTCTTTCTTTAGTAGATAATCATAATATGTATTTACATATTATATTCATTGGTCACAAAGTTTCTCAATGAGTCTACTTAGTTTTGAATTTTAAATAATATACATTACATATCCTTCTTTTAGTGTTTTTTATATATTGTTTGAAGTAAGTTTCACTAAGCCTTGATAGCTTATTCAAAAATTATACTATTAATTAATTGAAGTTACACATAAAAATTATTCTAGAAGTATATACTAGTGTGAGTTTGAGATGATAATTATTACAATAACTTTTATAAGTAGATGATGATAAATATGGTATAACAGTAAACAAAGAATAATATTGAAACCATTAAATATCAAAGTTAGTGTTTAACTTAAGAAATTACATAATTTTATGTTTGATACTTCATTGTCGGGATTTAGCGGGATTAAGCGGGATTCCCGATCGGGATCCCGACTTAATCGGGATTTTAATGTCGGGATCCCGACTTAATCGGGACGGGATACAGGATCCTCTTTTAGTTTGAATCGGGATCGGGACGGGATCAGGATTTGGGCAATCGGGATCGGGATCATCCCGATCCCACCCCTATATATGATAATGGTGTAGGTGAAGGAGTTAAGGAGATTAAAAATTCATTTATAGATGCCGTTTGGAACCACTGTTTTTCGGCTTATCCTTCAACTTTTTCATCAAACAGTAATTTTTGTTTTCGCTCTGAATTGTGTAATAAGAATAAAAAGTAAGGCTAAAGTTACTTTTCTGATTATTTTGGCTGCAGTTATTGTAGATGGACCATTTTAGCTATTTTTACATATAATTTTTTTTAATTCTATTCATAAAATATATTTTAATTTTGTTTCTTAAATCATCAGAATCAGCCAATTCAGCCACTTCAACCAGAGCTTCATAAATTTCAGCAGAATCAGCCAAATCGGCCTATTTTCGTACTACCAAACGGGCTCATAATTATCTTTAAGATTGTTACGAAAATGGGGTGGGCCAAGCCTAGAGTTGGCCCTCTCAATTCACACACAAGCCCTTAAATGCTTTGGGCTAAACGGATCCGGAGCCTCTACCTTACTTTAGAGTAAGGTAGGGTGTCTTGCTTCTTCCGGATCGTCCGATTAACAATTCAACGGTTGGAGATTTTGGGTTCCACTTTTTCGCTAATCTCGAGACCTACTTGGCTACTGCCCGACCGTCCGATGCGCAAGGCACCGTCCTAGTCGGGCAGAAGATCCCAATCCGGGCTAAACACTGGTGCAAAACAGGGGATGGTTGCCATTAATTCGGGTGTTGACTTGTTGTCTATGAATCAACACGGCATGAAAACATTGCACTTTTTCCGGAGGCGTTTCCTCTGCGACCGCCGCGTACAGTTTTGCGAGAATTTTCTATTGGCGTTTCCTCTATGACCTCAGTCACAATCTTCGAATTTTCCTCGTCAATAGAAAATTCAATATTACTGTGCATAAAAACGCCAAAAAGGAGAAAAAATTACAGTTCTTTTTCCCAAGAAATCGGCCACCCAGAAATGGAGTCGTCCACGGTAACAATGAGCTGTAAGAAAAAGTCCCACTTGCAGAGTGGTGAGACTGAGAGACAGCTATTCGTACCTCTCAGACTCCTCCATTGACTGAGACATCTCAATCCTCTTTCTCTTTTTAAAATAATAAATTCCCAGAGACAGTAAATAGTGAGCTGTAATTGAAATCCTTCGTTTTATACCCCCACTCACCCGCTTCTCTCTTCTTTAGGATAAAAAGATCGAAAAAGACAGCACGGGCAACTCCCGGATATCATAGAATATTTGGGGCTAGATCGCGAAAAACCCATCTTACCAAATCCATTATCGGTTGGTCCATTCAATGTCAACGGGGAAGAGTCGACACTGGAAAAAGAAGTAAATAGTTTTCGTTTGTGGGATTTTTTTGTTTAGTGTTTTTGTTGTTGCAATTCACACTTCTCAGATCGCGAGATTTACGTATCCATCGAAGTCTAATCTCCGCAGTTTTTGTTTAGGTATGTATAATATAATTACTCCTCTCTTATTTGTGCATTGATTTCGATTAGTTCGCCAAGGAATTGCAGCTCAAAACTGGGAGAAAGGGTTTTGGTGATTACTTGTGAATTCTGTACAAGTAGAATGCATATATTTAAAATATGGAGCATATATGATTTAAGCTTGGCAAGATTCAGAATTTGAGTTCGCCTTTATATAAATACAAGATATGAATTTTAGGATTTGAAATTTCAGTAGAACAAGCTGTAATGATCTCTTGAGTGATGCTTTTCAATGGAATCAGCAATAGATACCTTGCTGTATGAGCACAGTTTCTTGTGGTTTCATTATTTTCATTGTTTATGTTTCAAGAGTCTCAATTTAATGCTTATTACAGTGTTTATGGTAGAAAATGAAGTGCCATCTTAATGGAGATGTTACCCCTATCTGTAGTTTTTTGCTCATTTTTTGATTTGATTGTGTTGCAGGGATTTGATTGTGTTAGCCCCATTGTGTGTTTACTATATGGCAAACTCAAAGGGGGGATCTTCTAGTAGCATAAGAAATGCAATGTACAATGGCAAGAACTCTTTACTGCCACCGAAAAGTCCATTTCCAAGTATATCCCCATCCTACATCCTGCCCACGATCACCACACAAAAGAGCAATCCTATCCAGAAGCCAAACAACCATCACCAGCGCACTTCCTCTGAAAGCTTTCTGATGGATGAACAACCTTCTTGGCTTGATGATCTTCTTAATGAAGATCCTGACACTCCTGTCCGTAGAGGAGCTCATCGCCGTTCATCCAGTGATTCTTTTGCTTATTTGGACGCTGCTGCCTCTGCTAATCTTTCAAACTTGGATTACACGTTTCAAAGCTCTTGGGGACTCAATAGAGAATTTGATCACCCCAGAGATGGTTGGCACCCTGCTCCTTTTTACGCGGTTTCTAATTCCTCAACCAAGCACAGGAATCGGGCAAGGGAGGCATCTCCTGCACATCAACATGGAGTCCCTTCTCCTAGAGAAACTAATGTTGGTGTTGAACCTGAGAGGGCCCAATCCTCATCAAGCAGTGAGAAGTGGGACACAGTTGAATCCATAAGCTCTGCTGAAAAGAAGGACCCCAAAGGTTCTGCCTCAGAAACAGACACAAAACGGGCAAAGCAGTATGTCTAATCCCCAATTCTCTTGTTAAGTTTCATCACAATATATCCTAAAGAAACTCAACTCTTTTATCAATCATACCTCTATATCTATTGTGAGTCATCATACTTGATAGTGCATGGCAAGAAAACAAGGTGTGAGCATTTCCGGTTTGGTTTGACTTGGTTTAAACTGGGTTGGTAAATGATTGACTCTTAAAACCAAACCTTGGTTGGTTTTAATTTTGGTTTTGATTTAAATATGGGGATGGTTTTTTATTGTGTTATTTTGTGTGGCTGGGATTTAATTGGTTTCTATTTGGTTTAAATAGAATTACATATGGATCGGTTTGTCTTCGGTTTGAATCTTGAGGCATGACTTTATTTGATGAAGTTTTAATATGTCACTTCGTGTGAATTGGTTTTAACTTTTAACCAGTTTCAATTTGGTTCAAAATTGATACGGTTCGCAAAAGAAATTGCCAAATTAAAGTGGAAGTACTTATGGTTCAGTTTGGGTTCAGCTTAAATATTTGGACTGTGTTTCGTTATTGGGGATTTATGGTTTTTGTCTGGTTGGTTTTAGTTGGTTTTGATTATTACGGTTTGCAAAAAGTGTTGCCAAACTAAAATGAAATTACATATAGTTTGGTTTGGTTCAGCCTAATTTGATTTGGTTCTGTTTGGAAATTCAGCCCTCTAAAAAGTTATTGCATTACTTGGATGTGTCATTTACGTTGTAATGATGGTAATTCATGAGGTTCTTGCAGAAAAGAAGAAATTATGATAGTGTAATGATTCAAAGGAGAAAGCTCCTTTGCATCCAAATTGACTTAAGAAATGCTACATTTGGCAGGCAATTTGCTCAACGTTCACGAGTGAGGAAGCTTCAATATATAGCTGAGCTGGAAAGAAATGTCCAAGCTTTACAGGCATGTATCCACTATCCATACAGTTGCAGTAGAAGACGTAGATATTTTGTTGATATTTCTAATGGCATCTTCTTTGATTACACAGGCTGAAGGTTCTGAAGCTTCTGCTGAGCTTGAATTCCTCAATCAGCAAAATCTTATAATGAACATGGAGAATAAAGCTCTGAAGCAACGTCTAGACAGTTTAGCTCAAGAGCAACTAATCAAGCATTGTAAGTTACTCTTACTTCCAATCATCTTTTTCCTTATTCAGTGACTGTAAACTGGCGCTCCTTATTCTACAAAGTTGAGCATAGAGCTTTGTCTTGCATTCAGTATTAGTCTATCTGCCCCAATTTAGCTATCTCACTCAGATTATGAGGTTAACTGAGGGTACACTAATTTTTTTAAACATAGGTTTGAAATTAGTATTAGTAAGTAAAGGTTACATAATCAAAAGTTGGCGTTTCCCGTTTCCTCGTGATTTTTGCGTTTCTGTGCAACATAGCTAATAGTTCTTTTGAATCATAAAAATGAATTTATATGACATAAAAAATTGTACATAAAATTGGAAATGTAAAGGGAGTATTACATAATTAAAGACGTCGCCATGTCAGTCATTAATATTATGTCATCACAATCTCACAGATGAAGTTGGCGCCGCCGTTCAATCTGCTAATTTATCTGAAGTAATTATTTGAAATATTCTTTCAAATGAATTAAAGAAAACTAAATCTTAAAACGAATGTTGAGGTGCCATATTTACATTTTAGGATGTTTTTACTTGGACTGTAATTTGTCTTAGACCAGTTCAGACCAGACCAGACTTGGCTAGTTATAAAAATACAAAGAAACCAGAGCAGTTCAGACCAGACCAGACCAGCAAATTACAGTCCAAGTAAAAACATCCTTAGTCATAAAAATGTAAACTGTGCACTACTTTTTCATTATTTGAGATTCACTCAGCATGTGAAATATGTTAATGTTCAGTGAAAATGTACCTCATGAACCAGGTGAAAAATGCCTACCAAACATGCACTTAGTTTTAGAAAGTCATTAAGTTTCAGCCATATTTATCAAGTCCATCAAATAATGATGTTAATGCGAATGGCATGTGCAGTTGAGCATGAAGTACTGGAGAGAGAAAGAGGAAGACTTCGTTCCTTGTATCAGCAGCAACAGCAACAGCAAACACAAACAAATCAACAGCTGCCACCTTCTGGCCACCGGCGCACTGCAAGCAGAGATCTTCTTGAGCAACAGTTTTCAAACCTTTCTTTAAAAAACAAGGAAGCTTCTTCTACTGATCATGAACCTCTCTCTGGCCAACTTAACGTCTGACCCCGCATTTTGCTACAACCACCTTTAGAACATCTGCTGACCTTTCCTCAGCCGATACGGCTTGAAACTTATAATCTCTGTTGTGTCATTATTTAAGTAATTTTTTTATACCTTCGCGGCCTTCACGTAATGTGCACCTGGCTGGTGATTGGTGGTGCCAGGAAATACTGTTTTCTGGCAGTTGCTCGCCTGGGGTGATTGTTCAACCTTTGATTCATCTTTCTTCTTTTTCTTCTTCTTTTTCTTTTATTTCTTCTTCTTCTTCTTCTTCTTCTTCCATTTGTGCATCAGTCTATGTTGATTAAGAAGAATTGTGTTTCCTTTGACCCTCTTCACTTGTGACCAATGTTGCTCACAAACCTCTTGAAAGAGTGTATAATGATGATTGTAATGTTCTGTTTTGCTTCTTCTACATATACAGTGTATATGTAGAGTTTCTCCATATTTAATGCCTAAACTTTGTGTTTAACCTAATCCTAATAAGTTAAGAATTAGGATTTTATCTAGGGGTGGAGCCGGGCCGGCTCGGGCCCGGTCGGGCCTTTTGTGTTTGGGGGATGGCCCGGGACCGGCCCGGGTTGCCGCCGGTTCTGGGTTGGGCCGGGCCGGGCCTCGGGACAATTTCTATTTTTTTCCTTTTCCTAATTAACCCCCGACCCCCCTCACCCCACCCCTCCAAACCACCCCAAAGGGCCCAGAATACCCAGCCCAACCTGGGTTTTTAAAAAATTGAAAAAAATGGCCCGAACCGGGCCCGGATGGTTCCTTATTTACGTGACCCGAGCCTGCACCGGAAACCCCCCGGGCTGGGCATACCCGGACCGGTCCCTGGCCTGGCCACCGGGTTGAGCCCAACAGTACCGGCCGGTTCCGGGTCGGGCCACCTGGCCCGAGTCCACCACTTTATTTTTATCTCTTCACGGACTAATTAGGTCTGCTTAGCATGTGGAGTTAGAAAAGCTTTCAGCTGGCTGAAAGTTACAAAATAGCTTAACCTAAAGTTGATAAAGTTAGTAGCTAGGAACTAAAGTCTTTGATTAGTGTAATTAGTGTTGAGTTGTTGATTTTTGTAAAAAGAACAAAATGGGCCATCCTCAAGTAAGGGATGGATGCGGAATATGAACTTGAACTGCTTATTGCCTTGTTCAGTTACCCTAACTTGGAATAACATCTAGTTGATGTGCATTTGATCATTAAAAAAAATATCTCTAGGTAGTCGATGATAGATTAATTTGAAACAAAAAGTTCTCTTTTGGACCTCAACATGCAGAATTAAAAAAAAAGGTGAATATTAAGGCAGCAGTAGAAAACCATTGTTGAACATAAACTATGCACTTCACAATCATTATAGTTCATAATTATAACAACATGCTTAATAGTACAACTTTGAGTTCACCTGCTCCCCTACATTATCATCATAAGATACCCAGAAAAAAAGAATCTAATGAATGTTTGAATGTAGAAATGTATAAATTCTAAGCAATAATAAGTAGAAATAACAACAACTGCAATTGCAGCATGAAAGAATACGGCAGTGCAGCAGAATTGGGTAGTTGTGGATAATCATCAGGTTGTGGCAATACACATTCTTCGCCGTTAAACGAAACCTTTCTGGGAAAAGCCCACCCTTCCTTAAAAGTAAACATCGCTGGATCTTTATTCAGTAGCAACTCCGTTTGCACGTTACCACTCTCCCCTGCCTGAAGCAACATATCATTGTAATACTTAATCCCATAAAACATTCCAGTGTCATCTGCAGCATGTCCATTCATCATCATATTAGTCATGGAAAATTTAATAAATACGATAGACATAGCACATTTTTTCAAATAGGATCATCAGTGCGTTTTAGTCAAAATATGGCTCATTCTCTCATATTTATATTCTTTACAAGATTGAATTTTTCCTATTTCAGCACAAAACAAGGATACTCCTATTGTGCGGTTGATCAATTTTATACTCCAATTTGTGGTAATTTCTTTATTGAGATAAATAGTGGTGAACAATGAAACTCTTTTCTTACTTATATCGCCATACTGATTGAGTGGACTGTAGTTGAAGCTGAAAACTTGTGTAATGTTTCTCATGTTTGGATGAAGAACCACCAAATTCCAGCCGCTAAAGTTCCTCACAAAATTGTAATTAGTGATTGTGATCTTCACTCTCCAGTATTTTGTGTAGCTTTGCTTAACATGCCAGTGCACCCTAATTGGGCACATGTGTTGGGTGCACCGAACCACTGGTTCCAGTACCTCATCACGCTCCAACTTGAAGACCGGTGGCAGTTCCCCATCTCTACATGTTAGAAAAAGACCACATAAGTATGTCGTTGAGATTAGTCCTCAACAAAAAACTGATAAACTGACCTAAACCAAACCTGAGATCGAAAAATGACCAAACTATAGGTAGGTGGTTTAACCGACCAGAACCCACTTACGTTACTTCATTTTGTTTCTCATTTCTTAAAACCAATATGATCGAACCAGAAGCGATAACCGAATTGACGAAGACCCCTAATTGAGATATATTAATACGGAGTATAATATAGCCTGAATATCAACTTAAACATTTGAGTTTTGACCTAGATGACCTGAAAATGAAGGTTTGAAGTGATGCGCTTAAACTAAAACATTAAGCCGATAGGTGGACTTTGCAGTTATTCTTTAAATTAGTATATCTCAGTTGAGTGAGCTAAGATTTTTTTATGAGCCAATAACCAAGTGCAAAAACATTCTTTTAACATTTTGGGTGGCAAGAAGGTAAGGACCAAAGGGAACTAACGAAACTGTGAAGCTGACAGTTGGACTTTGCATATATATTCAAATGATTTTATCTCAGCATGATCCTTCAGATGCATAGAGCCATAGAGGGGGATTGGGAGATAGAAGTTGATTTACTTCAAGCATTGTGCTGATCTGGGCAGTCCTTGACAGCCACAAGAACATGTTGGGCAGGAAACAATGGTTTTGTTGTAGAATGCTGACAAAGAAACACAGCAGGTTGGAGAGGATTGAGCCCTAAACTGGGAATAAGAACATGTTATGTTCCATGTTCCTGCAATACACATCCACTTCAACAATAAATATATGGCAAGGTATACAAGTAAACTGTTCAAGATTAATATAAGCTGCACAAGAAAAGGGCAAACCAAACCGATCAATGTCGAACCAACAAAAACTGACCTAACCGTATGCAATTTGCTTTACGATATACGGTTTATGTTTCAACAACACACCATAACACGCCAAAAATGAAAGAGACCAACAGAAACCGGCAAAACTGAAAACCAACAAAACTGAAACGATGAACATCCCCAATTGTAATGCACCTAAATAGCAAAGAGCATACTACTCATTCCTCTCCATCCAAACTCCACTTGCGATATGCAAGGAAACTTATGTTATTACTAGTGTTCGCAACTTCGCATAACTTCATTGGTATGATGCCTTTTCATGCTGGTTTGATCCAAAACGGACAATATCATACTAATGCTTAATGCGCAAAGCTCTGAATTAAGTGACATTTACTGTCCTAGTTTAATAGACATATGCATGCTTACTTACCAACAGCTTGTGTCCTTCGCCGGCCTTCATCCTCAACAAACTTGCTAGGTGGCACCTCAAACGGTTCGCCACACGTGTAGCCAGGGATTCCAAGAGAGAAATTTCCCGGCATCGAGCCAGTTTTATTAGAAGCTCCGCGACCCACGGTCATCTGAAAGGAAGATCCATATTTTTCATCATCTTGAGTCATTGAAGAAAGGACACCTCCCTTGCAACAATTCGAGAACTGCTTGTTATAACGGGCTCCCGGGAGAAGGTCAATGATAACAGGCGCCTTCTCGCAACAATGTGGTCGGTTCCCGGACTTAAACGCAGAGCAGTTTCCCTGCTCTGTAGCCTCGGCTCCCCACATTTCCCAGATCACCTCATCACTTGCCCAACTCCAGCTTAGCTTCCAACCAGGATAATCGATGTGGCGGAACAGTTGGTAGTTTAGCAGTGACACTACCACCTACAAAACCAGGTCTCCATTATTCATTCATCCTAAAAGGTCATACCAGAGTAATTCATTTTATATATTATTCTGAATTTGGGATAGCTTACCAAAAAAGTTGTTACTCTTATGCGGATCAAATTGTCAGCTTAACTAGTTTTGATACTATATTAAAAGTTTAGAACTTTATGTTCATCTATGTAAGTTCAAGAAAGAAAATATGCATAATTCATTCATCTCTTGTTATTCTGCAAGTGAGTACTGGAATATTTGTAAGCATATATAAACTGCAGAAAATGTCATCATTTTCTAAATCCTAAACTGTTCTGTGATTATCCAGCCCCACACATATCATAATCCATTTGGAACACATATATAATGACCCCATAAAAAGTGATTAAAGATTGATTAGAGAAATAATTAAGGATAAGTGATGGGATGAGAAGAAGAAACATACGACTTGGGTATCATCGTTTTCTTCAATGATGTCCCATTTGACGGTTATGTTCCCATTGGGATCCAGAGGGTCGTATCCATCTGCATTATCACCACTAAAGAAATTCACCATGAATGGGTTTTGTCTCTAATCACAATTAGAAAGAAACTGAAGCGTTAATGATGCAATTATGATTCTTTAAGAAACGTTTGCTTACAGTAAACAGACGAGAGAGAAGATTAAAATCAGGAAGAAACCACCCCTTGAGCTTCGATGGAGTGACAAGACTGGGTTTAATTCCATTTTCTCATATAACTAATCCACTGTTAAATTGTTGGACTCAGAAAAAGGCTGGCAACCACAGCATGAATAAAGGGAGATTAGTGAGGAAGAGAAGGATTAATCAGCTGCCCGTAAAAGAGAGTATTTAATTGTTCTACGTATTTATTTATTTATTTATTTATTTATTTATTTAATAATAATAATGGTGTGGATGTTCCAAGATAATTTTGTTTCTTCTGAGGTATCACGTTAATGAAGTCTGTAATTGGTAAGTTGGATAGTAGGAAAAATATAAATACTTACTATACTGATTTTCTGCGTTCTTTACCTTATAGGGGTTGACCAAAACCTTTTCACTAATCGTGTATTAATATAAGCTTTAATAAATAAAATCTATATAGAGTGATTTGATAGTCTATACTACGTGTATATTATTATTGAAATCACAATATCTATAGCGAGAAGTGCCTTCAATTCAACAAAATTTTCATTTTAATCTATTTAACCGGCTAAATATGGAGATTTTTTTTCCCGATAAAAAAATGGATGATAAAATTGAATATTGGAAAAGTACTATCAAATACTCTCTCTTTGGCCCATAAAATTCTCCTCACATTGACTTGACACGCATAGTAAGGAGATAATAGTAAAGTGAAAATGTATGATTGTAGTTGTGTAAGAAAAATTTAAAATTAATATAAATCTCACAAATTGCTCAAAAATGGTAAGTGAGAATTTTTTAGAACGTTCCAAAAAGGGA